CGCGCCGGGGAACGATCCCGCTGCCGGGAAGCGTGGAGGGGGCGCTCCGCGGCCGGACGTGCAGCCCGCCCCCGCCTGGCCGCCACCCCGTCTCTAGCCCTGCATCGCCCCTCGCGGTGCCCCGACCCCCGGCCTCGGCGTGCAGCGCCGTCCTGCCGTCCTGGTCCGGCCGCTTGACCAGGGGTGGCAGGAGGGTGGGGTTGGTGTCCACGTAAACCTGGGGGTACGGGGATGGCCGTCTCCCCTGGCTGGACGGCGGCAACTGACCCTGTCTTCTAGCCCACATCCCGCCCAACCCGGTCCTGCTGATCCCTCCCCAAGAGGCAGCTGGTACCCCAGGGAAGAGGGGCCATCACCCCAGTGCTGGGGACGCTCCGCTGGCTGCTGCGCCCCTGGGAGGAGGCTGGCTGTCCCGGGGGCTGGGCTGGGCCTTGGGTTTGGGGAAAACCGGCTGGCAGACGGGTGGGGGGCTTGCTGTGGATGTAGCAGCCTGGACAGAGTTAGGCCCCGTTTCTAAAACATCCTTTTTCAAAGACCCATGCTGGGCACCCATGGCTGTTGAGTGCAGGATGCCATGAAGGATGGGGCTCCCTGGAAGCGCTGGAACGGGAAACCACAGGCACCCTGGCCTGCTTGTGCCACATCGAAATGCAGGAGCCAGAAGGACATGCCTGACCCACAGAAGCAGGCTCCCGCCAAGTCCAGACAAACAAAACAGGTGACCCTCCAAGATGCCCAGGGTCAGTGTGAAGGCCAGGGGACTGGTAGGACTTTCCAGCAGCCAGGACTTGCCAGTTTAGCCTGAGGGAAGGGTGTGTGGAGAGGCTGGCCAGGTGGAGACCCGGAAAGGACTCCTGATAGAGGGAAGAGGAGACAGCCCCTTGACCAAGGCCCTGAGGACAGAGCTCTTGACAGCTCAGTGAAACCCCACAGCAGAGAGGTGGGGTCGGAAGGGCTGTTGACACTCTGAACCCTGTAGCTAAAGCATCACGGGAAGCTTTAGCCGGGGTCTTGCAGGAATCAGCATAGACTCTATGCATCGTGCCGGTGTAAACATTCCACTCCACTGACCCCCCCAATCCTGCTACCATGGGCCCGATGCTCCTGGCAGACTGATGAGGTTAGATAGCTCCAGTGGCAGAGAAGGGTTGGACCCCACTGCCAGCCCAAGTGAGAGCTTCACACCATGGACTGCCCCCTCACCTGACCCCAGGCCTTCCTAGGCCAAAAAGGAGCAAGGCACCTCTACTGGACTCAGCTGGCCCTGGCAAAGTGGGGTAGGAATGAGGTATCACAACAGGCCACAGGTTGAAAGAACCCACATGTCCATTGACCAGTGAATGGATAAGCAAAATAATAACCACATGATTGGTTATTATTTAGCCAAAAAAAAGAATAAAGCTCTGACACATGCTACGACATGGATGAACCTTGAGGACATTATGCTACATGAAACAAGCCAGTCACAAAAAGACAAGAACTGCATGATTCCACTTGTATGAGGCATCTAGAGGAGTCAAACTCTTAGAGACAGAAAGTGGAATGGGGGTTGCAAGGGGCTGGGGGAGTGGGAATGTGGGTTAGGGCTTAATGGGGACAGAGTTTCAGTCTGGGAAGATGGAAAGGTTCTGGAGATTCATTGCACAATGGTATAAATGTACTTAATACGACTGAACTGTACACTTTACAATAGTTACTATGGTAATTTTTATTTTGTGTATTTTACAACTAAAAATAAAAAAATTTTAGAAAGAAATAAAGGGGCTGGCCAGTTAACTCAGAGCACGATGATACAACACCAAGGTCAAGGGTGCAGATCCCCATACCAGCCAGCCGCCAAAAAAAGAAAGAAAGAAAGGGGTAGACACAGCCTAGGGCTGGGCACACAGCAGGCAGACGGGGCATTCGCAGGAGGAAGGGAGAGCACACTGGGTCAGCTGCCACCACTGTCCTTGCCCAGAGGCCAAAGGGCAGCTTCCCAGTGGTCACTTAGGGCAGCGTCCTCCCAGCCCGGCCTCTGAGGCAGACGGCAGGCTCCAGGCACCCTCTGGTGGCGTTGTGGGGAGTCCGCTGCAGATCTACCTCTGGCCAGCCTGGGGCCCCCAGCTTCCCACCCCAGTCCACCCTCAGTGAATAGGCCAGTGTTTGTGGTGCAAGGGAGGAGTGCCTGGGTGGTGACCTGGCCTGGAAGGGGCACACGCCTGGCCCTGAGCTGTCTCCTCCATGCTGGGCTTCACCTGCCCCCTGCCCCTGCCTTGATATCAAGGGCCCAGTGATGATGCTTGTCCTCCAGGGGAGACCTGCACAGAGGCCACTTCTCCTCACAGCACCTGATTCCACCCAGGAAAGCACCTGGGTGTCACTAGCCATTGCAGCTCCACTCCCCACAGGATGGGGAGCCGGAAGCCGTGGGTACAGGTGCCAACACACCTGGAGAGTGAATGGACGAATGAATGAATGAAAGACATCCCAAACTTCAGGTCGCTACCCAGCTGTCTATGCTTAGTTTAGGGGCTCTGTCCAGTGCTCTGACCCCCAAGAAAGGGCCTCTCTCCATTCCCACCACACGAAAACAGGAGTAACAGGTGGAGCTGAGGTCAGACAGGGTGTGCTCCAGGAAGCTGGAACCTGGCGTGCTGGAGACTCCCAGCCCCTCTGGGAGAGTACAGAGACCAGAACAGTTGTCCCCACCAGACTGCTGCTCTGCCTGGCTTTGGCCTAGTGGACAGGCAGAATCCCAAAGCTCCCTGGCCCGAGGGACGACCAGGCTGAGGAGACTTGGTTTCTGCTCCTGGCCTCCAAAGAAGGGTCTGGGGGGTGTGGTCTGATGGGGTGCTGGGGTGCAGGGTGTCACCCCTCAAGCTGCCCACCTCCAGCCATTGTGCTGTCCCACCAAAGCACAAGTCTGGCAGTCTGAGGGCACTGATGCTGCATCCACGGTGAGCTGGGCCCTGAACAGGCAGGTGGTGGCCACCTGGACAGTGCTGGGGAACAGATGAGGGACACTCATGCCCAAGGCAAGGGCTAGGCTGGCCCAGGTCCCTGGAGGAGCAACACTGAGGGCAGGTGGAGTTGGTAGCCAAGGGACAGAGGCCCCGAGGACAGATGGAGTTTTGAGCAAACTGGGAACCACAAAATTGGACATTGGGGGTGGGCAGGACCAGCCCTACAAGGCCCACTGGCCGTGGGGGTGTTTGGGCTTGGCCTAGAGGTGCCCCTGAAGAAACAGTGAGAAAGCAGAGAGAAGGATCAGGTCTCCCACTTGCCCAAGACTCCTGCCTGGGTCTGAATTTCACTAGCAGTCAGGGCAAGAGAGAGATGTGGGTGATCTGAGGCCGACCCCTCCTGTGTCCACGGCTGAGCCTGTGGCCACACAGATCCTTATGCCAGGACCAGCTTAATGTGCTGCTCCAGCTGGCCCGGGCAGAGTGAGGCACCCCTGGCTGGGGCCGGGGGCTGAGAACAGCAAGGACAGTTCCCACAACTGAGGGTCAGGGATGCCAGGAGACTGCCAGACCCTGCGTCACCCAGTAACGCATTCATGTGGTGCCCTCCATGAACACTGGCCTGGGTCACCCCTACCCAGCTTGACCTACAGAGCCACAGGGCACCTGAGTTACCAGCCCATCAGGCACTCCCAGGGACCCCATCAAGGACACAGTCACGCCTGCTGATTGTCCCGGGCAGCCTGTACAACCTCTAGTTCCCCTCCACCTGCCACCTGCCCCTCCCAGGTGGGATTTGGCCTCGCCCACCTCTGGGCAGCATTCAGGGCACACAGCAGCAAGGTTCCTATCTCTGGAATGTTTTTCTCCCTTTGCTGAGAAATCCACCCCCCACGCCTTGCGTCTCCTCAAGGAACCAAAAATGCAGCTGCCGATTGATTTGCAGCTAAGCTAAAAATAACCACCAAGCTCCAGCCAGGGCCCAGGAAAATATCCCATTGCTAGGAGACGACCGTTACCCGGAGACGGGCATCACTAGGCAAAGTGGGTTGCCATGGTGACAGCTGGGCCCTGAGTCATCCTCAGCCTTGACAAGGGGTGGGCCAGGGAGGGAGCAGAGCTGGAGGGCAGTGGAGAGAAGCCCACCACCTACACCACCACAGCCGCCACAGCTGCGGGCACCTCAATCTGGCTGCAGAGTGGCCGGGACAGCCACACACACCCTCAGCCGCTGCCCCATGGGGACTCCCGACAGGCACTCTCCAGCCCTGGGCCTGGGCAGGGCACAGGGGCAGTGGGGGGCAGAGTGTCCATCTGGCCCCAGGCCAAGTCACTTTGCTCTTGAGTATGGGGCTCTCACCACCAGCGCTGTGCTGAGACCTTGAGGGTATCCCCCCTTTAGGCTCTAGACCCATTTCTCAGGAGGATTTGACCCACATTCTACCCCAGAGCCCCCTAAGGAAGTGTCTGAGGACCTCCCATGACAAGACTCAGGGAAGTTTCAGAGTTGTTGCCTCAGGCCTCAGGAGCATGTGAGGTGACCCTCCCCATGTGATGGTGGCTTGTCCTCTCACAGCCCTCCAAGGTCTCAGGATGAGATGTGGCACTAGCCTCTGGTCCTCACCACCCATGACTCCTCTGGAGCTGAAACACTCCTCCCCCCACCAGCAGCCTAGATGGGAGACTCCTTTGGGCTCAGGCATCAAGGCAAGGGGTGCTCCAGGGGAGGAGTGTTCCAGGGGAGGGTGCTCCAGGTGGGGGGTGCTCCAGGGGAGGATGCTCCAATTTGGGGGTGCTCAAGGGGAGGATGCTCCAGGTGGGGGATGCTCCAGGGGAGTGTGCTCCAGTTGGGGATGCTCCCAGAGAGGGTGCTCCAGTTGGGGGGTGCCCCAGGTGAGGGTGCTCCAGGGAAGGTGTGCTCCAGGGGAGGGGATGCTCCAGAGGAGGATGCTCCAGGGGAGGGGTGCTCCAGGTGAGGCTAGTGGTGTCCTTCTGGCCTTGGAGGAAGGCCAGTGTGGCTGAAGCTCCCAGAGGAAGGGACCGGGTACGGGGGGGCGCTGTGGGCCGGCAGTGCCAGACACTCAGGCCTTTGCAGACTGCAACAAAGAATGGACAGAGCCCTGGGAGGAACAGGAGCATGTCTGCACTGTAAAATGACCCCTCTGCACCCTGGAGAGACCAGTGAAGAGGTAGTGGCCAGGGAGGAGAGAGACAGAGGCCTTGGGAGGTGTGACAGGTAGAGGGAAGTAGGTGGATCTACAGGTGTTCAGGAGGCAAACTGGGCCTTCTACAATGGCATGTCTTTAATGTCCCTCTGAGAAAGCACTCTTCTTTACTCAGATTCTTCAAAGACAGGGCTGGCTTGTTGGGGCCGCTTCCAGGGTTCCGTGACCCAAACGCCATTGTGTGTCGTGGCATCCCCCACGCCCACCCTATGCACTTGTGGTGTATCCATTCCCAACCCCGAGCCGGGGCATCAGGACTCAACACAAGCACAACTCGTTCTCTGGAGGAGGCCCTGGCACCTGCTGAGGGGTAAGAGCTCCCCAAAGTGTGAGGTGAAACCCTCCCTACCAGTCAAGCCGCCACCAGGAAGCCAGCCTGCCAGACCCACACAGCACAGGCCACGGGACAGGCTGGACAGATGCTCTCCCATACCCCACTGTCTTCCCAAGTCTCATCCTGTCCGCCCATGCCAAGCCACCTTCTGTGATCAGTATCAGGGCACAGGGGCAAGAACGGGAGTCTTTGGTCCCTGCCACAAAGAAGAGCTGTGCTCTCCCCAGCTGTGACAGACTGTACCCAGTGCCCCCCAGCCCCAAACAGCAAAAACAACACTCCCCCTCATCCAGCCAGGGTCCAGCCAGCCTGGCTTCCCCTTCCCCCGTCCCCGAGCCTCACACCAGCCCCACTGGGTCCTGCTTCCCAACACAGTGTCGAGATCACTGGCTAGTTTTATTTCTATTAACACGCTCTGAGGGAGGGGGCCTCACTCCCAGCCCTGTGGCTATTCCCTGATGCGAAGACCCCACTCTGCTCTCCCCACACCTGGTCCCTCCGCCGTCCCAGCTCCCAGGAGACCCCAGGATGGGACGCTATTGGCCTCTGTCGTCCTGCCCTGAGCCTGCTGGGAAGTGTGGCGTCTGCAGTAGCCCTGACAGAGTCCTGCACATGGACCCACCACACCCCAGCCCTGCCCTCCCACCACCCCTGCCGTGGACTGCAGCGGCTGCCACCTCCCGGCCTCCGGTCCATTCCAGAGGGAGCTCGTCGGGACACTTAAGGCTTCTGGACCTTTGCACGCTCCCTCCTGGACAGCTCCTCCCCGTCACCCTCGGGGTCTCCGCTCAAGTGTGATCCTCAGGAGCCACCGCCACCACCACTCCCTCGAGGTCGCCATCACGGCGCCCTCCCGCTCTTTCATGGCCCTCTGAGACGATGCGCTCAGTCACTCGTCTGTGCGGCTCCGCAGGTGTGCGACTGTCTCCACTGCGGGTTCCGGCCTGGCCGCAGCAGGTGCGCAGTGGACTTGCGGGCCATGAGGGGGCCTAGCTTCTGGCTGGCAGGAGGGTCCGGAGGGTGAGGGTCGGACTATCCCGCCTGCTCTGAGCCGGGCCTCCCCTTCCTGGCCCCCGCACCCCGGGGCCAGCGCCGGCGCCAGGGGCCCAGGTCTTCCTCCGCTACCTGAGGAGGGGTCGCCACCGCTCGGCGCACGCGGGCGCGTTCGAGACCTGCTCTCCGGTCGCGCGCCCTCGCCATCCCTCCCCGACCCGCCGCGCGCCAGAGTTTGTCATGCGCGCACCCGCGGGGTGG